GGCTCGAGATCAGCCACGGTGGGGATATTTACACTACAGAATTTGGCGAACCCTACAAGTAAGTCAGGTGCTTTCTGTTCTCAGAGGGCTGGCTGTTAAACATTTTACCAGTACACCACTGGTTGCATGCCAGGCTGACTGAAGGAGAAGCTAGCTCTCCATCTGGCCAATGCGGCACCAACTCAGCCTGTTTGGGGGTTTCTCCAATTCTGCTTCCTGCCCGGAGCTCCTCCGCCACCGAGTTCAAAGAAGGCTGGAGCATCTGGGATGAATTTGGCTACCGCTATCACCCCCTGGGCTCTCCTCTCAGAGATACTTCTCCTATTTGGTAGCCACATGAGTGGTGGGGGCCAAAACCAAATAGGTAAAGCGTTTACAGTTCTTATTAAACTCCGGATATGGCAGCTGGCTTCCTGCTGCCGAGGCTGGAGAACAATGAGTCCCTCAGTAGGAACAAGCTATCCCCGGCTGAAAGCATCCACTGTGGCATTCCTCGGGAGGTTTCCCCCAGCTGGTCTGCACGCTGCCGCCGCTCACCAGCAAGTGCTGGGGGCCACTGGGTTTGCCACCGCAGCATCCTGCCAGGCGCCTGGTAGCAGGCTTCCTTTGCTTCCCCCTTCCCTCCTCAAAGTCTAGTACAAAGCAAAGAGCCAACAAAATCGAGGTCACTGGCAAAAGAGTTTGAAATTTTGAATGATTTTTATTAAACACCATTAGTCTACACTGCACAGTTAATGAAACAGCAAAGCTCCAATCTCTTAGAACGATGATTGATCATGGATCGGAAAAGCAGTTCGGTGTCCCCTAACCCAATGTGAGCCTGATGAATGATTCATTAACATCTCATGTCAGAAGCAGAAAGGGGCAAGAACTGCAGCCTGGCCTGGAAGGACTTCCCTACCCTCCACCCCCCCACCCCACCTCCCTCCGCCCTCCCCACAATGCAATTTTCTTTGAGTCGATGGATTACGGAGGAAAATGTGATGCTCTTGGTAAAGAGGGCTTCTAGATTTGCGAGGAGGAGAATGGAGAGGGAATTACTTTTTCTTTCCCTGAAAATATCAGATGGTAGGATTAACGTCTGAGACCAGCCTATCTGATTAGCCTCCTGCCAGGGTAAATGCCAATTATCAATACACAGACGCCATCTCTGCTGTTGGAGTTTGCTAACACCAAAGAGAAAATGAATCAGGGTTTAATTATGAGAATAAGGCTGTGCGGGTGGAAATGACAAACAACAACAACAACAACAACAAAGACACCCATGACGACAAAGAGGAGTTTAGTCCGCCAGTCGCATAACCGAGCAGTGACAACTGGCTCAATAGTTTTCCCCCGCAGAATTGAATCTGGGGGCACTGAATCAACCCATTCGTTTGATATTGTGTAGCTACACTGTCTCGCCACACGGTTTCTCAATGGGGATAGTGATGGTTCTCTAAGCAAGGAGTTCATTGCCTTACTGAGTAGTCCTACCCAGCGATCCAGTTTGGTTCTCGCACCTGCCAACTCACGCAGGTGAAAGTTATCATGTCTGGTGAGAAGTACGTGAGGGGGGAGCCCTCACAGCTCAACTGATTCTGCCTTCAAAAATGCTTTCCAACTTCATACTCCAACTTCAACCTCCAGGATGCAGATTTGAATAAAACTAACTCCGAATCAGACAGCTTTGGGAAAGATACGACAGAGCAAGTATCTTTCCGATGCATTTAGCGGTGCAATGTCCAAATGCAAATCCGGACATTTGGAAACTCAACAAAACACATTTTAGCCAATGGTTTCCAATTTAGCAACTTGGTTATGGACTGAAGATTTGGAACTTTTTATGTCAACCTCAAGTATTTTAAAAGTTAGCAGCAGCTAATCTGCTTTTCCAATTATGTCATCCAAATATAAAACTACGAGTATTTTCCCAATGAGATTATTAAGTAATTAACAGTCTACAGGCTGGCTAACAACATGCTTACGGCTAAATTCTACCCCGAGGACCACACTAGTATACTCTTTTCCAAATTAATCCTACCTACCAAACTCAGACAGTAATATGACAAAACCACTAAAAAATCCAAAGTTAATTAAAAATACAAAGCCAAGCCAACATCCTAACACGAACTTGTCAAACTCTCTGTGGTTGGAGCTTGGGTGACAAAGGAAGGCATAGTGGTGGCCCTACCTGGGTCACGTAGCAGGGCCGAGATCCTTCTGTGTACTTGCTCAGGTGGAGCTTCCCATTACTCTGCCCATTCCCCTACCTCCGTGTGCTCATTGAGATGTGTCTCGCCAAGCCTCTGTCAAGGTCTCCAGGCAGGATCTCTCACTGCCATCCACATGTCCTACTTCCCTCCCACAAACTGGTACAAGGAAGAGATTTACTTGACAAAATATCTCAATCCCTCACATAAGCCGCACACCTACGACACACGTCACCATTCACAATGTGATGGATACAGCAACAATCCTTAATCGTGAAACCAAAGACCGTCTCATCTCCAGGAATAGGAAGGCCATTCCTCCTCCATGTTTAATTGGTTTCTAAGCTGCTTTACAAATGGGTCTGCTAAATAATCAGGTGGTGATCCTGGGCTCAACTGTCAGATTTGATCATCGTGTTGCTGATTTGGCACACACTGTATAGTCAGCCACCGGAGGTGACATCAGGCAGCGGGATTCTCTGCTGCCTCCCTGTTGTATGTAAAGTAGATAAAAGGACTCGCTGAAACTAGAGCTATAGGTCTTTCATCCACAAGGCAAGATGCTGGTTTCTTTTGGAAACTGCCCCTAGCGTTCGAGTGTCTAGTTTCTGGAGACTGAATTTCAAGAAGAATCTACCCCTAAATCTGTGATGGTCTAGGATCGTGGTTTAGGTTGAACTTACAAGTCAAGCCAGTGGGCTTCATTATATAGTAATAGTCAGGCGCTCTACCTGGTAAGCCATGGAAAAACGAACAGAGAACTTGAGTCACTGCAAAGCCATCAGCTTAATTTTTATATGTGACACCCACCTTGGATGTTTGGAGTCTTTCATATCATCATTTTCCCCACTTAAGAGGCTCAGAGAAGATTCTCTCAGGTTTCATTTGTGTGCACGTCTGTATGTGTGTGTGTGTTGTTGCGGAGACCGCGAATGTAAAGCTCAACCACACTGGGAGCATAGAAAGTGGTGGGTTCAGCTGCTGGGATGCTCCCAGCAGTCACCTGACAACATGGCCTCAGCCATTGGAGTACAACTTCCACAACCTTATTATAAAACAAAGGGTCTTGAACTCAAAGATGACCAGAGCGGAGCTTGAGTCTGGCTCTTTTGCAATTGGGAATGTATCTCAACCTTGACAATGAGAGTGCAGGGTGAGCCCTTGCCGTTCCTATCATCACAGACTTGCATGACAGGCTTTAAGAATCACACAAGTTTGCACCTTTCATGTGCATATGTCTACTATTTATCTGGTCACCGCTCAGTGAACAGAATTCAATAAACTCAACAGATTCAAGGCGACATGGAATTATACACCAGCAGGTAATTATAAAGAACTAATGGATGACTAGTGTTGACTACAGGTGGGGGATTCTTCTGGTGAGATAGAACACCAAAGATGATATTTACATGGTGATGTTTGGGGACATAAAATGAATGTGGAGGATCAGAAGGGGTGGGGATAATTACAAGTGATGTGGAAATGTCTCCAAATTAAGTGAGCTGTTACCAATCTTCAGGGCTCTTTCAAAGCACCCTAGGGTGAAGCGTTACCCCAAGACTCATTTTTTGTTAAAGGGCTAGCCGCTACTTAGAGAGTTTGGAGTTTTCTCTGGAATGTTCATGGAAATGATTCATGCTAATATAGACTTTAATAACATCAGTGATTTCAGTCAAAAGCTAATGAGCTCCAAAAAAGGTAAAGAAAGATCAAAGAGGAAGAAGAAGTAGAAGAAGAAGAAGAAGAAGAAGAAGAAGAAGAAGAAGAAGAAGAAGGAGAAACACTGTGAACTAGAAAATGTGGATTATAATTGGAAGCAAACTGTATATTCTAACTCCTAGGTAGTGATAACTTGACTTTTGTTTCCAGAGATTTGAGCAGAATACAATAAAAATATCCTGCCAGTAATGGACCTGCCTACCAACTGCAAAAATGCAGAGGTATGAGTTCCTTGGACATTTCCAGACCTCTCCTCATCTCTCATCTCTAAAACCGGAGTGCAGTATTTTTGCACCTAGGGCGTGCACCCACTTAACTGCCCCTCAAAAGGAGAGCTTTACACAAAAGAGAATCCCAGGTGAGGATTTATGCTTCAGGTCAGGGAGTTCAAAGATATTTAATGCCAGCCGATGTCTTAAAGTTGTCGAAATCAATGTTGCCACTTCATCTCATTAAAATTTTAAAAATAGGGCATCAGGGAAGGGATGTCAGCAAGAAAGTCCTCTGGTTGTCTGCCATAGTATTGTTTTAAGAGTGGCATTGCTATGCTTATTTGTTTTCTTAATACTCTTGATTTTATGATGTGGCTACAACATCTAACCAGTGGGTTTTGACAATGAAAATTCTCACCTGGAGACTGAGTCGTGGGAACCACAAAAGTTTAACAATGGATTCTGAAATACGTTCTTTTCTGGACATAAGAGTATAGTTTGGGGAATGGCTATTGCGGAAAATTTGAATCTTAGTAGGTCCTTTGTGTCTAAGTTCATATATATATACATATATATATATATGACATATCGTTTCATTTCTCAGGAACCTGTTATCATCACAAGTACTTCCCATTCTTTGTTTTGGGTAGTGTGGACTTAAAACAATACTGTAGGGACTGTGTCATTGTATCAAGCACAAAAGGATGGTGGGATTTGAGAAATGCATATAAAATACTGAAAAATGACTAAGTAATAAAACATATACTGCTCTCAAGTTGTAGTGTCCACTTACAATGACTTCTGTTTTTCACAGATATCAAAAGAAGCGTAAAAACAAACATAAGCAAAGAGAACTTTCCCAAATGAGTGGAGTTCCACCAGTGACCGTTGGTGCTCTGGTAGAGGTAGAGTGATGGGTGGTGATGCTGGAGATGGGGGCGCGCCCACTACAACAAATGGGCATCAATGCGCAGCCAACACAGTCCCTGGCGAACGTAGCGGACGAGATTGGTCATGCTGCTGTGCTGGGTCAGGGGCCCCATCAGTGTGTCCAGATCGCCGAAGAATTCTGAAAATCAGAGCAGACCTTGGTCAGGCCTTTGAATATCATCACAGAAATACACACCAGATGGCTTAAGGTGCCTTCACGCGACAACACGACTATGTGGACATTGGAAAAGTTTTCACTGTTTTCCTCATTCATTCAACAAAAATTTATAGACTGTGTACTGCGGGACCGAAGCTCCATATGTATAGGAGGCACTATTATTTTAATCTTTGTGTAGATCCAAAAATTCTGTGGCATAAATAATGTTTGTGTTACTGTGATTAGTAAAACACAAATTCATTCAAATCCATTGATTCATAGTAAATTTTTTCAAATCACGATATATTCTCTCAGCAGATTTTACAAGAATATTATAACCCTGTGGAGGTTTGTGAGGTGTGCGCACACACACACATCACATTATATATAAAAATGTATTTGTCTATGTTCATATAATAAAGGTGTGTAACATGTATATATATATTAAAATATACACATAAATTACATATATAAAATAAAATGTACTTGAATATATTTTAACAGTCCATAGAGAATTTGTATTTTTAGATATTATAAATTTATATTTAGAAAGAGGTCCATATACACAAAATGGTAGGGAGCCACGGTCGATAGGATATTGAGCTGTTTGCCATTGTATGTGTTACTGAATTGAAAGTATTCTCTTTCTCCTTTGTCTAAATGAACTGAGTTTACCGATTTTTCTCGGCACGATGCAGATACAGCCAGTGAATCTGGACAGCAATTATAGCCATCAGCTTCTAACGCTAAATAAACATCTAGAAGGCATCTGATTCGGGTCTTATTACCAATTCCTCGAGGGAAGGGAAATGACCTGTCGCTAACAACTCCCTCCTCACCTTGAAGGACACGGAAGGTAAGACAATCCGGGCTGATTCCCCTCCAGCTGATCTGGAGAAGGGGCAGTGCTGAGGCTACACTGCTAACCACTGGACCGCTGGGGCTGGAGTTTGGGACAGTCTGCTTTGGAGTGGGGTGGGAGGTATGTGGAAAAGACTATCTGATGTCTAGAAAAGTATCTAGGCGTCCCCTTTTCATGTCTGCATTTATTTGTCTACCATTGTGTTGACCTCGGTTAGGAGAGGGCTCTCGGGTATCCTCTTCATCAGCTCCCGAGAGGGGAGGACGTCACGCCCGTTCTGGTTGGCGTGAGGAAGGTGGCAGCAGTGGGGGTAGGCGCTGAAGGCTACCTTAAGGTGGTTGGGATGCTCACCCGCCTTCTTGGAAGGCGATTTGCATGCAGGGGCTCCATGCCCTTGATTGACCAGCAGATGGTATGTCACTAAACAATGCACCGATTCTTCACGTTATGTATAACATATGGGCTCCTTCTCTAGGAATCGACTTCATTTGATTATGTGATACCTTTAAACCTGTACTATGCAATAAAAGTAATTTCTGCTGATAAAGGAGTAAATTATTTTTGGCATCTGAAATACTTCCTCATATAACACAATATTAAGGGAAATGCTAAAGGACCTAGTCACTGCTGAGTGAACATGAGCCACACGTGAGCCAGGATGCTCTGCACTAGATACCCAGGTTGCCATTTTTTAAAAAAATTTTTAAATTTTAAATTTTATTTTTATTTTTTTAAAGATTTTATTTGAGAGAGAGAGCATGAGAGAGAGAGGGAGAGCTCACGAGCAGTGGGGAGGGGCAGAGGGAGAAGCAGGCTCCTCGCTGAGCAGGGAGCTCCATGTGGGACTCGATCCCAGGTCCCTGGGATCATGACCTGAGCTGAAGGCAGATGCTTAACCAACTGATCCACCTAGGTGCCCCCACCAAGTCACCATTTTGATAGCAGCTTTGAGTAAGCAGCTGGGGGGGGGGTTAGGGAACAGGGCTTCTAGACCAAAGGCCAGGGGGCAGCATCACTCCCGTTGGCCGATTTTAGCACCAGAGTCCTCTGCCAGAAACCATCTGCGGCTGCACGGGTGGGCAGACATGGAGCGGGGTGGGGGAGTGCAAGGGCATGGTTGTCCCCAGTGGGATCCAGAGTAACAGTCAAAAGGGACGCTCCTCAGTTCCCCATCTCTACGTGGACAAGACAGATGAGGGAAGGCTCTCTGACTCTAAGCAGAGTGCGGAGCTGTTCTGATCGAGTATTAGGCGGGGAACTTAACAACTCCTGACATGCTGTGCTAAGGACAAGATTAGCTCCAGTTCCCTTGAATATCAGCACAGCCACCGCATCGCTCCTGGAAAGTTCTGTGGTTAATTTTTGAAGGAATTACTTTAACAGATTTTGAAAATGGATGCAATTATGACAGAAATCCATAAATACTGAACTGCCCTCCAGTTACCAATACAAAATAAGAGAGAAGAGTAGAGGCAGGCAAGCTAGGCAAGTCTTAAGATGCTTTTACTTGCAATCCTAGAACTTTTGGTTGGGCCTGGCCATCTGGGCCAGTTGTCTTTGGAATTTCAGAAGCTTAGAGAAGTAGAGAAGTGCCCATCACTCAGGTAACTGAGGGCAGGAGCTCACTGAAGATCTCTGAGGACCTCCTACTAACCTCACTCTCTGGATGGGCAGTGTACCCTAGTGGTTCAGAGTTCTAGATTCAATTCCTGCTTCCAGGGTTAGGAGCTATGATGTCAGGGGTGAGTTTCTTAACCTTGCCTCACTTATCTACAAAACAGGGACAAATGAGGCAACAAGTGATTGGGCAAATAATACAGTATCTGGCATGTGGAAATTGTGGCCCGATTTCTTCCCAGTTACCGACGTAACTAATACGTGTGAATAGTCCCAAGGGTCAGTGTAAGTCTATAGCCGGGCTGTCGGTCGAAGTCTCAGATTATGGAATGTGCTCTGATAGCCACAGAATCTTGGGAGTCATATAGATACATAATAATATGGAGTAAGTGAATAAATATTTGCCGGCTTTCTACCTTAAACTTGCTATTTTATGCTAGTGGCTCCATACGTTATTAAATCCATTACAGAAATGGAAGCTAGGAAGTGGCTCAGAGATTTGAGTAACTTGCCTGAGGTTGCCCAGCACTGCATGACCCAGGCAGGATTCCAACTTAAATGATCAGGCTTCAAAATCGGCACCCGTCCAACTTCGGTGGGACTGTCTCTCCACACAGTCAGCACCACAGTAGCAATGCACATGCCTCCCAGTTCCTGGCCAGACAGTTCCACTCTTCTAAACTGCGGGGCCCCTCTTTGCGATCTGATTCCCAAAGGCCCACACCAGTCCCCATCTTGACTGTCCGTGACTGCTGGGCCAGAATCAGCCAAGCCAAACGAATGGCCAGGGCAAGAGTGCAGTCTGCTTGTGCCTCCCACCTTCATTAGGATAGCGAGACTTCCCTGTGAACGTAGGCAACAGCCAGGGTCACAGATGGCGGCAGGAGTTGCCAGAGACCACTGACTCACCCTCTGGTGGAGCAGGGTCCTCCCTGCATTTGTTCTGTAGCAAAGCCCATGTGTTACCACGAACGGGACCCTGATCCTTCATCCCAGCTGTCAGTGTGGAAAAAATACCAGCTGAGCTTTGGCCTTTGCTTCTGAACACAAGCCGTGTCATCACGTGCTCCCTGGAGCTGGCGGTTGTAATGAAAGTAGCAGGCCTTCAGTTCAACCTCACCTCTCCAAAAAAAGAAAAAAACAACACCCCCCCCCAAAAAAAACAAACCCAGAAGATTAAAGTTGACAACAGAGGCCAACAGGATCTTAATTAATTTGCAAAACATTCTCTTCTCCTTTGCCTCTGTTTTTCCGTGCTGATCCTTACCATTGAGGGAAAATCTGAAACGGTCATTTGCCAACACGTCACAGCTCAGACTAGTTTAAGCTTTGAAGGAGAAAAGAAAAAAAAAATCCCAGGACTTGCTTACTCTCTCAGCAAAAATTTGGTTACTCTGTCGGCCCTGAGTTAACCCCTTCTTGCCTCCTCTACACCCTGGAAATCAGAGAGACAGAAAGATAAGGCCACCATGGAAAACTCAAGTGCTTCCAAGCACGGCTGACCCTACCATGGTCCATGAGTGTGGGTGGAACAGGTAAGCATACCTTTGTTCTCTCTTGTCAGTTTGTCGGCCATGTCCCAGTGTTCGTAGCCCCGTAACACGTTGCTGGTGATGTTGACATGGCTGGCGGCCATGTGGTGAATGCGCTGGGGGATGGTGACCGGGCCGTTGTTACAGCTGCCCATTGCATTGATGGGAGAGACATTGTTGAGAGACACCGGGGATGGAGTGTTCCTGGGGGAGGGGGAAGAGACAGGCCTGGTGAGGCTGGCTGCAAAGAGTGACCACGGCCTTCTAGGCCTCCCTCCCCATGCTGAGGCCTCACGAGAACGTCACTGCCACAGGAGGTTTAGCGCGGTGAGCATATATGAAGCCCAGGTGTGGAGAAGCTTGCTCTCAGAAGACATCTTGTAGTTTCTGCCAACACGTTAGTTTTCTCTAGAGGCCCCAGAGTAGAAAGAGCCTATTGATCATCATCGCATTCTGGCCTTGTCTGACCAACCCACACAGGGCTACAGGGCCAGGCTCTAGAATGAGCCATGCTTCTCCTTTTCTCAGTTGAACACTGATGTCTCACTGCCTCTGACAACCCCTGGTGACTCCATCCACACTGCTTCTTTCGTCTTAAGATAGCAGAGAGAGCTGGGTGAATCTTTCTCTGGCATTCATTCTATCCACACATGTAGCTCTTATTTTGAATATATATAACCAGTGTTGTGAGGTTTCAGAGGAAGACACATCTCAGAGCTGTGCTGATTTCTCTACCTGCTGCCAGATGGCTAGTGGCAGCTAGGAAAGGCTATTATCAAAGTGTTTTGTGGAAACCACAATGACAATTTGCTCCAAATACAGTCACCACAATAAACAAAGTGCAATTCTTGAAAGCCCCCCAAGGAGCAGTATTAGGGAAGCCAGAAAATGTAAGATTCTGAATAACTCTTTAAGATTCTCGAAGACATGCTACAGAGATGGCTGTTAATTGCTGACCATTCACCTGCATGCTGTTTATGAAGAGAAGTCTTTGCAGGTCCTACTTTGGGCAGAACCAAGGTCTGGATATAGATCGTGGTTCAATACTTTAATGTCAGCAACAAGGAGTCCCCTGCAGTCTGCACATATCAGGGAGGGCCTGAGTGCTTCCTGTGCACATGAGCAAGGCCTATGCACCCCCTCAGCCTTCCTATCCTTCTTCAGCGAGACTTCAAACAACTGTCCAATGGTGCCCCAGTGTGCCACTTTGTTATGATAGAACATTTTGGGGAAGTAGAAGAAATGGAGAAAGCTGTGTTTGGGACTCCTCCTCATTCCTCCAAACACACCCAGCAGATCATCAAGGCAGCCTGTCACTCCCCCTCGCTGTTCCCAGCCGTGGCTGCTGGTAACTCTAGATTTCCAGGTTGGCTGTGTTCCTCAGAGCCGATCTGTGCTCACAGAACGGATGCGCACCCCAATGGGCACCGTGAACACGAGATTTGGGGCAATGGCTGGAGTATTGCTAACTCAATTTGGGAGCAACTCAAATCGATATGCTTGCCTCGAGACTCATGTGGGGTGTGCCTGGCCCTGTGAGAGCTTTGGTCCATTTCTGGAAACAGAGTATATCTTCTGGTATGTTCTAGTATGAGGGGCAAAGGGGATCCTCACACTCGCTCTGCATTTGTCTGTGAGAGGGTGTGAAGGTTTTCCTGCTCTGTTTATAATTTCTAAGACCTTTTGACACTTCTCGATGGAAAGATTTATTCTCGAGGCAGGGGTGGAGTGGGGCGATTCCAAGCTAAGGAGCTTAAGTGCAGAAGGGTTAACTAAAGACCAAAAAAAAAAAAAAAGCCACCCCAAAACACACACACACACACACACACACAGAAAACAGGCAGTGAATGCTGGATTTCTTTGTTGTGGTTGCTTGCAAATGCTATTTCTTTTCTCCGAGTAGTGGTCATTAACTCTTAGATGCCAACTTAAGGCAAGAAAAGAGTATGTCCTCATTTGTAATTGCTAGAGAAAAATCCCAAAGCTGTCAGGTGTCTCAAATGTTGAATGAAAGAGGAACCATATTGTGCTGGGAACAGAGTATGTACTGGAATCCTGGGAGACCTGTATTCTAACCCTGGCCCTGCCCTAAATGGCTGTGTGCTCCTGGGCATGTCCCTTCCCCTTGCTGAGCCTTTCCTTGACTCAAGAAAAGGTTGGATTCAGTGATTTCTGATCATGTCCAGAAGTCACAAGGGGAAACACATCACCTCTGTTTACTTTGTACATCTTGAAAAGGCCTTTTTAGCTTATGACATCCACGTGCTAATTGAAGGGCTATCTTTGTCTCTTACTGCCTACTTTCTTGTAAACAATCAGTAGTGGAGGCAAGGGGAGCTAGGGCATGGGTTTGCTTTTGGTCATGGCGGATCTTACACGAGGCTCTAGGAGTGACCTCCCGATGAGCGTATCTGCAGGCCGCATTGTACTGATGAAAGAATTCCAACCTGTCTCAGGAAGGCTGTGACTCTGGCTACAAGGGCATGATGCTGCGCTCATCTCGGGGGGCCTCCAACTCCCACTTGGCTCTCCACACAGCTTGAGGTTCCTTGTCCTGTTTTCTTTCTGTGGGTCTACTTGTAGATCTTGTTTTTCTCTTCACACCTTCATGGCACATGCAAATGAGGGTACACACACAGGCACCCAGTTCCCACCACTTGCACCATTAGCACACTGGTCCAATCCACATCTCAGCCACACTTGCCCCCTTGCCGTTTGTCAGACTCATTAGGCACACCCCACTTCGGAAGGTGGTTGCTGTCCCTCTGCTTGGAATGCATTCCCCCCAGGTATCTACATGGACTGCTCTCCACCATCCTTCTCTAATGTCCCAATTCAAGATAGGTGTCCTGCTCCCCACGTGATCCCTAGCCAAGCTTTCTATCCCCCTTCCTGGTTTCCATTTGTTCTATGGCCTTTGCCACCACTTAGCAAACCACATAGTTTTTACTTTTTCTCTCCAACAGAGTATGACCTCAAGGAGGATAGGGATTTCTGTCTACGTCTATACCCAGTGTCTAGACCAGTTGCCTGGCACACATACTATGTACTTAATGAATGTTAAATAAATGAATGAACTGTCTTCCAACCATCCCTTTGTCATTGTTTAGTATCCACTACATAGAGAGGCTCTGGAGAGGGTAGGAGAATAACATATAGCACAAGATGATGGGGGGGTGTCTATCAAGTGCCTGGCAGAGTGTCTCATCATCCATAGTACACACTCAGTAAATAGGTGGCAAATGAAAGAATGAATGGCCCCTTATTAGGAAGAGCAAATGGTCTAGTAGGGGAGCAGAGCCATGAGTTTCTGACAAGCTGGAATAAGTGCCCAAGGCGAAGTATACACAAGAGCTCTGGGAGTTCTAGGGGTGGGACAGTGTATGCTTTCCAGCTCAAATGGTAAAGTTACCGTGTGCCAAGCATGGTGCTCAGATATTACCTCTAAGCCTCAGAAAAAGTTTGCCAATCCCTGCTCGGTACTAAGCAGATTGTTCTCCTCCTTCTTCGCAAATTTTCTCCCCCAGGCCTCATGGTCACGGGTTGCTGCTTCTGGAAGATGCCCTTCCAGGCCCTGTGTGGTGCCAGCCACCCTCGTGTGCTGGGGAAAGTAGGCTACGGCCTCGCTTGCATAGAAGACGCCCTCCCTGACCATCCAGGGAGGTCCAAGCTCGTCTTCTCTTGGGCTTCCATAAAACTTCGTTCACATCTGTCACCTCCCTCCACTGGACTGTGTGCTTCTGGAGCACAGGGATCCCATTGGAGTCAGCTGTGCCCCCAGCCCCTTGTATGGAAATGTGCCTGAGGTGTTCGCTGAATGAAAGGGAGGTAACCCGTGGGTGACCATCTGGAGTTGCTTCATTCACAACCTCTCTGGCCTACCAAAGGCAGTGTGCTTTCTTCACACAGAAGCTGCCTAAAACGTCCTTTCAGGAGGCTTTTAGTGTGACTTCACAAGCTTAGGATGTGTTTGAGTTCTTTCGTTTCAGAATTAAAAGAAAAGAAATTTCCCAGAAATCCTTTCATAGCTGCTTACCTGAACTTGCCCTCGCTCTACTCTGTGCTCAGAGAAAATAGCTTTCTCTGGGCCTTTCAATGGTTATTTTTATTTTCTCAACTTCCAGAGAGATGCATTCTTTTGCTTTTGTTCATCAATATAAAAGTAAGACTTAATCAACAATTTAAAGGGTACTTCCTTTCAATACAGTAATTGAGTTAATGCAGTTTTTTTTTAAACTTTAAAATATCCAGAAATGGTACCTTTATTTTTCTGCATCATTCTAATTCGTATTTAAGTCCCTTATCATTTGATTAACCAAAGTTCCCTTTAAAAAAAAATTTTGTGTAGGCCTGAATGAAGCAGCTTAGCAAAACAGTAATACTGACAAGACGTCATCTTATACCATTAGCTAACATGGACATGAAGGCAGTGACCATCTACAGTGTGTGAAATGCCACAAGAAGTCATCAACAAGGGAGGAGAGTTATGTCAGTCCAATTTCTTCAAGGACACTACGTGGGGTTTCAGCTTCCTCCTGCAGTAGATCAGCCTGCTCAACTGCTTTAAGGACATTTTTCTTGGATGTTTCCTGAACTTCCCCTCCCAAAAGAAACTCATCCAAAATAAAATAAGCCTTCTCAAAATTAAAGATGATATCAAGTTCACACACACTCCCAAAATACTTGTCAAGTAATTCCACATAACGATGAATTATTTCCAGGGTAATTAGCTCATTGTCCTGATCCTTGATAGCACAGCAAAAATACAGACTAGCGTATCTTTTGTAAACAATCTTCAGATCTCGCCACTCAAGAAAGCTGCACATTTTAGGCTTCCGTGCTAAAACGGTTTGAACAAGTTCTCTTGTAATCTTTTTCTTCTCTTTGTCTGATAGTGGGACATACCACTTCTGCAGTCGAAGCTTTCCCTGACGACTAAAAAGCAACATAAACTGCATGGAGGCCGCGGGCCGCGGGCGCGGCTGGGCTCGGCCGGCGGCGGCGGTGGCAGCGGCCAAGGGGAAGCCCCTGACGCCGGGCTGAGGAAGAGAAGCCGTGTTGCTGTGGGGAGGGGACCCTAATGCAGAGTTTTTAATGGGTCTGTTCCCTCACTCGGAATGTTTTTATGATCTCAACGTAGAGTTCGTGTCCCACTGCTTTGGGAGTGTGCTTTGTAGATATTTATAAAATGGCAAGAGGAGACTAGAATACTCTGGAAGAAAGTGTATGGACCAGAGACACAAGAATTTTGAAATGATGAAAAATGGAAAAAGCAGCTCTTTGCCAAAGCCTGGGTCTGCAGTCATGGAGTTTCCCTTCCCACTGGTGGTGGCAAGTGGGCCTGGGGTGGTGAGGGAGGGGCTGGAATCAGATGGAACACTGATGCTCAAGCACGGAAGGGCAGGCATGGAGCCAGTTTGCGCCACAGACAGAACTGGGCTTCCAAATCTCCCTCTTAGCAGGAACATCTCTCACCCGGGGCCTCGGGCCTCGGATGCCAAAGGGTCCAGGCCTTTCCTTTTAGAGCTGGAGAAACACGCCCAGTGCAGGGGAGGGGCCCCTGAGCCCCCCCCCGGCCCCGCCCCGTCCCTCCTGGAGTTCCCCTGGGAGCTAGGGACAGCCTCAGGACTAGGTGGATGCTCTTCCAACTATGGGCAGTGGAGGGAGTGGGGGAGTCCACCGAGCCTTAGATCAGCAGTAGATCAGCAGTAGAGTGGATGCTTTTATGTATTTTAGGTCAGGGTGTTTTAGCATTAATATAAAAATCACCATGAAGGCTCACGAAGGCTAAGTGCCTTCACATTCTCAACACTATTATGCCTTTGGTTTTATTAAACGGCACTTACTATGTATCAATGAATATTTCATTGGTCTTTCATTACCGAGTGAATCATTGAAAAATCACTGCCATCTCATTAACAGATATTTTTATGGCCATCATTTGGCTTAAAGATCAAATAGTTAAAGAAATTTGGAATCGCATCATGTTAAACTTTTCTGTCTTGCCATTAGCTGAAATCTGACCAGAATTTCCTGTGCACAAAAATTACTCTAGTCTCAGAATTGGCCTTCACTCCTGAGTTGTCAATACAAAACATTTGGGGTCTCTTAAGTTGCTGAGTTTCTGAAAAAGCAATTTTCATAAGATACTTACTTTCCATTGCCTACCCAGGGAGATGGTATCTGAGCGACTTTTGAAGCATTTTGCTAAAAAAGAGAGAGAGAGGGAAATAAGGACATCTATTTTGTGTTTTATTAATTCAGAAACAGATGGAAGTGTGATTTCGAGTACATTAATATTGATTGCAGCATTTCGGGATGCCTCCTGTTCTGTTAGCAGAGCTGGATGTAAGCGCACGTCGGCACACCATGACACACACTCGGTGAAAATAGCTGGGTAGGATAATTAGCGGGCTCCAATCAGGACCATGCAAGTCACTTGATGAAAGATCTTATATACTAAAAGGCCCAGTAAAATCAGACTCAGTTCTCCAAGAAGTGGCTTAATTATCCTCATCTGAAATTTATTCTGCAAAACAAGCTTCTTCAGAGTACTGGCAAGCTTTTCACCTTTAGCTCCCATGGCAAAATTTTTCCCTGGGATGCAACGTGGGCTGTAATTTCTGACATCCCAGGAATGGGCCAGGACGGAGCAATGTTTTGTGGTTTGTTTGGTCGTGAATCACCTTGATTTGCGATCTTGACACGCAAATCCCTGTTTAGCAAAGCAACTGGTCGGGGGCTGCATTGCCGTGGACCGCTAAGGATTCTTTGTCCCTCTGAATGGAACTGGGCTGGTTTCAAAAGTTGGCCTCCTGCATTTGAGGGGCCACACACTTGCGGAACACTCAGCACCACCACCTTAGGACAGTGGTCCAGCTCACCATAATGACGTCACCAGGTCAGAGCCCACAGTGCACAGGACCAGGACCCCCAGGGCACTGAGCCTGACTCAGGCTGGTCTTTTCAACCGCAAGACCGAGGTTATGGTTCTCCCCCTGCCTCTTGGGTTCCAGTCCAGCCCCCTTTGCAAATAGGGTGCTAGGGAGAGTCAGGCATTTTCAGGAGCCCAGTGAGCAGGCAACACTTCTCTGGAGCACAGAGACCCACACCTAAGGTGTGTTCTGCAAACTCCAGTTTTTAATCTAAAAGCAGCTCAGCACGCTGCCAGAGGAGTGAGTTATTTGACATCTGTCTGGCATTTTTGCAGTGGCCTGAAAGTCACAAAGAACAGGCCAAAGAGGACAGATACTAGGCTGTGGCTCTCAAAGTATAAGCCCAAGACCAGCAGCAGCATCACCTGGAAACTCGTTACATGTGCTAACACTTGGGCCCTGTCCCAGGCCTCCAGTATCAGACTCTGGGGGTGGGACCCAAGACTCAGGGCTCACGAGCTCTCCAGGGGATCCAGATGCCCACTCAGGTTCGAGAACCGCCTTTCTACAGCATAGGTGGAGACCGTACACTTGGGGGGGATGGGCAGCTTTTGTATTTGACGCGTCACCTACAGGAGCACCAGCTTTATGGCATCGTGGCCACACCACAGAATAGCTGGCGAACGTGCTCTTTTTTCCCAACTGAGTTGGCGTCCTCATACAGCTGGGCACTGCCACTCATGGCATCTGGGTAACCAATGTGAAGGTCATGGTTTGATTCATCTCAGACAATTGCTTTGGTGCAATTTAGCCAAGCAGTCTCATGCACTTGGCGGAAATGATAGTAGTAGTAATAATAAATAATCATCCTTTGCCTTTAAGACATGACCAACAGGAGCCTTGAGCCTTCTCAAATCTGAATCATGACCAGTGCCGGGGGGGGCAGGGGTTAAAAATGAAGCAGAAGCTTCAGAGACCATCAAGCCAGCGACCCTTTAGTGGCTTGCAGTTTTTATCTGGGCTTGTTCCCAAATTTTGGCATTCATTTTGCAACTGAAATTTCTTTCTTTTTCTTTTTTTTTTGCTTGCAAATTAAAATCTCCAGTTCCCTAGACCACGGATTTATTTATTTATTTATTTATTTGTTGTTTGTGTGCTAGTTCATTTTGGTAACCAGATCAGTTGTTTTATTTTATTTTATTATTTATTGATTGATCAGTTGTTTTAGAGTACAACCACTGTACTCCAAGACTGCCCATGGCCAAAGGACTCCTATGGGAATGGTTATTCCCCCAGAGCCCAAGGCGGCTGCAGTGAATTCTCCCATTGTTGCAAAATTTCTGGGCTGGCTGCTCACTTCACAGGAGACTGGCCCTGGTCACAACCTGTGTCCCCTGGTGGGTCCCCACCAGGCAGGGTGGGGAAGGAGGCATCATCATTCCCATGACTGCAACTGGGAAGATGCCAAGGGCCATTTGGTCAGTCCAGAAGATAATCAGGGGGTGGTACTGCTGCACCTTCTCTTCCAGGAATCAAAGCAAACCTGAGCTCTCTGCTGAGCCCCAAGGGAGAGAGGCAGGAGGCCATGGCCGGCTGGGATGATGGAGGTCAAGCCTGTGGCAGCAACAACCTTGACATTTAATCACATGCTTGCCACGTTTCATTAGTGATTGTATTCACTCTGTACTTATAAATTATACAAAATAAGGATTACCTTAAAATATTCCATCAGTGATCTGGAGTACTTCATAGCATGGTCCTTCTTCAGCTTGAACATCCGCAAGTAGAGAAGTGATAAACATCTGTAGCTGTGGTGAGAAGGAAAGGATTATGTTAATGTTGGTGCTTCACGAAAGCCACGCACTGGCAACGAAATGCTGATTCACAGTTTGCGCTCACTCCCCTACGGTTACCGAGGAACAGAAGTGAAAAAAGAAAAATGTTTCAAAGAGAAGGGGTAAGCATTAAAATCCCATCTTGATAAGGGTATAAATTAGGAGAGTAAATGTTTAGTCAGCGACTGAAGAAATCCATTAGTTATCCTTTAATAGTTTAATGGAAAACAAGAATAATGATCTGGGGTAAGCAGCTTAAGTCGATCTGGAGTTTTCAAATCCTTCTGTGACATTTCAGCTGCCTCTTTGCAGCCTCCATGAGACTTACCATAATACCGCCAGCTTTTTGTCCCCGTCTGAAGCCAAGGGGCTCGCAAAGTTCTTCAGTCTCATTGCGTACCTTTGAAGAGAAAGGACAAGCTCAAGTGCCATCCGCATGACCCCTCAGAAAAGTCCAGAAGTCATTGCTATTCCCATCGCCAAAGTAGGGCATGCTAAGTGAAATAAGTCAGTTAGAGGAAGACAAATACCACATGATTTCACTCATATGTGGAATTTAAGAAACAAAACAATCAAGTGGAGGGAGAAAAAAAGGAGACAAATTGAGAAACAGACTCTTAACTCTAGAGAACAAACTGATAGTGACCAGAGTGGGGGAGGGGTGGGGGGAACAGGTAATGGGGATTAAGGAGGGCATGTGTAGTGATGAGCACCAGGTGATGCATGGAAGTGCTGAATCGCTATATTGTACACCTGATAGAACACTGTATGTTCACTAAGTGGAATTTAAATAAAACCAAAAAAAAAAAATAAATAGACAAAAAACATTCTGGCGAAAGACCGTCCCTAGGACCACTCTAGCTAACGGGCATGACTGGTTTGCAATGAGAGGCGGCCGCAGATGTCAGTCTCAGTCAAGTTTATGACAGACGAGGTAAATAATACACGACTGTGTCTGACATGGGCATGGGGAGCCCACAATCACACAGTTAAAAAGGTCTTTTATAATGGCTCAGGTTTTGAAGATATTCCTACAGAAAGTGGTTTTGTTTTTTTAAGAGGAAGGTCAGTTTCACAGCATTTGAAGGTCTAAGCGCCCTTAATTTATGGTGCTTGTATATTTTGTCTTTCCATTCTCTTTGTTACTGTTCCACACTGGGGTGATCAAAGGTTGAGCAGTTCTCATTTTTTTTTCTTCTAGCTGAGCACATCCCATTCGGGGCATTTAGACTCTTGAAAATCAATTCATTGCATAAAATCATTGTCTGAGCTTTAATGCAATTTCACAGGTACCTGTGGAGGAATAAGTAATGGAGTTCAGCGTTGCAGAAGGAAGTTGGAAGTGTGCAGGCAGCCTAGGTTCATTCTCATTTACGAGAAGGTGATGGGGAGCCTGCACCACGGACTCCCCATCTTCAACAGCCTCCCCAGAACAGCAGTGTCCCAGGGCTTGCCCCTCAAGACCAGGCACCCCCTCTCCTGGTTATGGTTCCACTTCTGTGGAGGGAACGTTTTCCAGCAAAAGGACCTGTGCACTTGATATGGGTCCCTTCTGTTGTTGCCATATTAAGCAAAAGGATTTTTATTATGTAATAAATCAAACTGTCTTTGACAGTTGGATTGCTGAAATGTCAAGTCATTGTGATGCCCCACTTGTTTGCACAAATACATTTCTACCGCAGATTCCCAGGGCTCAGAGCCACTATAATGACTTGAAGGAAGAAAACTGGGCTATCTCTGTGGCCAGCATACGGTCAGAGAGTAATAAAAATCTCTCCACCACCATATGATGCCACTAAAAACTATGTTCACATTACGGTCACCCTCTAATTGCAACCACTTTTGAAGTGAGTGGATTGTGGAACTTCAGTTGCTTCAGTGGACCAGAAGACCTAGTTGCTTTAGCCCATTTTATTCCCAACTGAAATTTTCTCAAAAAGAAATTATACTCACACAGGCCTTACAGAAAATGCAAGAAATGTACATAGAGAGAGAGGGCACACAAAGGGGTGCATGTAAAACTCTGAATAAAGTCCATGGATTTTATCAATGTCACTGTCCTGTTCGCGATACTGTTGGGGGAAACTGGGTGCGGGGCCACAGGAGCTTTCCCGATCATTTCTTTAAATCTTTTTTTTTTTGGAAGATTTTATTTACTTATTTGACACAGAGAGAGAACAAGCAGGGGGAGCAGCAGAGGGAGAGAGAGAGAAGCAGACTCCCCGCTGAGCAGGGAGTCAGACATGGGACTCGATCCCAGGACCCTGGGATCATGACCTGAGCGGAAAGCAGACACTTAACCGACTGAGCCACCCAGGCACCCTCCCGATCATTTCTTACAACCACACAGGAATCGACAATTAACTCAAGATAAAGTTTCAAACTACTGACTCTAAAGTGAACGTCCATACATTCTCCACTGTAAATAATTATGGAAAAAGAAATGTTTTCTAATGGGAATAAATGTTACTCAAAGTCTCACATTGCATTTTTATCAGAAACAAAATATGATGCTCTGCTTTTATATCTTTAGGAGAGCATGTATTTTCCTAAAAGAAAATGAAGAAGAAAGAAAAATACAGAGAGATGGGAAACACCCATCATTTCACCCTACTGCAGCTCTGATGTCATTTCCCTTCCAGCTTGGTCCACAGGCAGAAACATGCTTTTCATGGTCAGAGATGTAGCGTGTATATAATTCTGCAGCTACATAGTCTCCATCGTTGCTGCAATTCACTGGCTGCAAAGAATTCTGTTGAGTGTACTACAGTGTAATTACTTACTCTTCTATGATTGATTATTTGGTTTGCTTCTAATTGTGTGCTATAATATATGCCAAACTGAACACCGTACAGATAACTCGCTCTCCTCTTACAATTATTTTCTTTAGTACAGGAAATTCACATTTCCCGAAGTTGAATTGCTGGCTGAAAAGATATGAATGCTCATTTGTAAAGGTTTTCCTCCACAATGCCAAATTGCCCTCAATTTACAATGATCAATTTCCATTCCCACCACAAGCAAAGGCGAGGCCTAGGTCACCATTATTGTGTGTGTGTGTGTGTGTGTTAACACTAGGTATTAGCATTTTTCTCTTTTCTTATTAATTTAAGAAGTGCCTTTTTTTTTTAAAGTTCGCATGTTTGGATAGATAGAGAACATGAATTTTCTCTGTGTTTGTTCACTAATGCTGCCCCTCGATTTTTAATTTTTGCCAGAATTTTTATCTCGTGCATCTTTGAAAATCACTGGCAGCTTCGAATCCACTGAGAAATCAATTTCCCGTTAAAAGCTAGAGAATGGCGGTGGTGGCTTTCACAGAGCATAAAGTAAGTCTGAGAAATAGATACTTTACATGCTACTTTTGTGGCTTTAACTTCCTCTTCTGATTCTATGCAAGCACAGTTTTTTTTTCTCTTTATAATACTTCGCATTCTTTTGATATTTTGGAAGACTTTGCTGGGAAAATATGCATGCTAAATGTGTCCAATGTTTGTCTGAAGGTTTAATTACAAGGGCCTCGGATTTGTAACATTTTATGCAGACACAGGCAACATCCATAGTAAAAACTGGGCCTGGCATTATCAATTTATCTAGCCAGAGGTGACCCGGATAGAAAGGACCTATCAGGTGAGGAACTGCTCACTAAAACAAAAGCAATTTCGTGCATCCAGCAAATGTGGTGCTTTTCCACTCTTAAGAGGTGGATTCAATTATTTTACAAATATCTGCACGTTACTGGAAAATACAACAGTGGGCATTTCTTCTCTTTCCCCTTCTTCCAGGAATTTTTCTGATTACTCACAAATTCTACTCCACCAAGACCAATGGCAGGCCAGGAAATTTCATTTCAAATGCAGATGAGACCTATAATCTGTGCAGTTAATATGCTGGGCTCCTATTCTCATCCTCTGATCTTTACCCCTTCCCCTCCTACCACCTTGTCTATTTCCCTGAAATTACAGACACAGGGGAAGTTCACTGCACACCTGAGGCCCTCAACCCCAACTTTGTATTGGAACAGAGGCCCCTCCTTTTTAATAACCAAGGCAGAAATTCTGAGAAAACATGGTTCATAACAGAAATCCCGATAGCGCCACCTTCCTTGAATTATAAAACTGCACTTTGAAAAGGTGTCATTGCCAAATCGTGAAATTATTATACTTTACTTCCACCCACTACGTTTCCATTTTAATTTTATGAATATTGCAAATTATAACACTCACATTATAACCTCTGAAGGGGATAATTTATAAAAGCAGTGTCCATCAATTATAAATTTTCCATGACATTAATAAAATGGCAAGAACTAATTATGATGACTTCTAAGAAGAAGATGTGTAGGACAAACCATTAGTAGGAGGAAATGATATTTTTAAAAAACATAGCAGCTTCTAATTACGACTGAAATGAGCTTAGGAAGATGGCTGCAGAAAGGCCATTAACCTGAGGAGCTCCACAGTCTCGGAGTACATGGTATACGGAGACTTGGCTTCCAGAGGGTCGCGTTCCATTGCATTGCCACATTCGGTGAAGGACAGGGCTGCGTCGGCATAATTCACGGCTTTGCCAAATTTCTCGAACTGAAACAGGAAGATGACTCGTCACCATGATATTGCCTCTTTTCTCCCTTATATGAAGGGGTGGGTCTCAATCCCGGGGCCTTTTTGCACCCCTCCCCCAGGGTACGTTGGGCAACGACTGGAGATATCGGGGGTCGTTGGCACGAGGGACGAGTTGGCAGAGGCCAGAGATGTTGCTAAACACCCCACAATGCACAGGACAACCCCGAGCAGTGAGAAATACCCGGGCCAAGATGCCAAGAGTGCCGAGGTTGAGAAACCCCGATGGAGAAGGGGGGTCAGTTTGTGAATTTGTATCGACAGTAACATAGCTGATTTAAGGTTCTATTGTCATGACCCCAAGGCTGGTAGAGAAGAGAAAAATGCAGCCAAGGTATCGTGTATGGTGGTGGTATGATCATGTATTTGTGGTCCTGTTGCTGGTGTGATTATTTTTGGGGGGATCAGAATGCAAATCATGCCGTGACTAGTTTCTATTCGCTGAATTGACTAGACTGGGCATTGTAGTGTCCTATGGACAGAGCTGGTGGTGGAACTCTGCTTTTCATAAGCCTCATGGACAACTTCCGTCTACAGTCTTTGTGAGCACATCAACCCCACCCCCAGGGGAGGAGTAAAAAATGGATGCTATTGTCATGAAAAATGTGAAGCTTCCATGTGACTGTTGACAATAATCACATCACTTTCATTGTAAATGATGGTCTGCAATAGTGTGTCAAAAAGCCAAAAAATATAGCACTACTAAATATTTTAGTTTAGCAAAATTTTATTGCAAAAGGTTTTAGCCCTGATAATGGTCATGATTAAACTGACTTAGACATACTGATTTCTTTTTTATGTGCAATGAATATTATATATGACACTTTTATAGTGAGTATTTTATAACAGTATTTAATGTTTTCAATTTTTGATAGCTGGATATAAGAATTCCACTAATACAGAATTTTATGTAAAAAGAACCAGTATAATGCAGATTTAGCTATTTTAATTTTCTTGTATACCTTTTATCAAAATATTTTCTTGCAACTGTGAAGGTTTCAATTCTCAAAATGGCAGAGTAGCTGTCTCTAGCAAAGTATTAAGTACAACTATAAAATGATGAGTTACAGGTCCTACAGAACTGCTATTGTAAATGACTCTCTTTATAATAAATGTTCTGCAGCTTTTATATACTGCAGGAATTCTGCAGTTTCCTTACTATAAGCTGTTGTGGAAGAATATTGGTCTCAACCAAATTCAAAGTGATTTTATGAAAACCTATGTGTGTGTATGCAAACTATCTCCTTCTTCTCATGCCTCACCCGATTATTTCCTTAGGTAATTTGGCTCTGACTGTCTTGTGGGGAAATTAATCTTTATATCTGATTTTTCGAAGTGACTTTTCATTCACAAACCCATAGCTGGAAGGCTTCTTAAAGATCTCCTAGACCAAACCTCTCTTTTTCCAAAAAGAGAAACTGAAGTCCAGAGAGACGAATACTTGGCCATAGTGCCAACTGGTGGCCAGGTCATACCCTGGTCCCGGGCCTCAGTTTTCCCATCCATAAAACAAGGGGCTCAAACTACAGGGGGCCTTCTGGCCTCTAAATGAGTGTTTCTCAACCTTTGTTTCCATCATCACCACCTCCCCCCGGGGCCCCTGTGGGAGCTATTTGAGATATTTTTTCACACACCTCCACCGAAATATAAAGACCAAAAACATACTCAACTTCTCTTCATGTCTTGTGGCCTGGAAGGTCACGCACCATTGCAATGTCTGACTTTTTTTACTTTAGCCCCCCAAACTGGTTTTTGTCCCCATGGGGGGGATGGAATATCCCCAAATGAAAATGCATTTTCTGAATAGCTTAGACCAAAAGTGATTTAGGGGGGTACACATAAACACAACCCTGGAAGGTACAGAGTGATGCTGGGTCTTAATCCTATGTACGTATCTCTATGGCTCTGATTTTTCTCAGTTCTTCCGAACCTCTCCTACATGGTCTCACGTGCGTGCCCCACTCCATGAGCCCGCAGACCAGCCTGTCAAGGGAACGTTTATGTGCTCCCTTGCCCTGATTTTGAAGGGTCAACTCCAGAGCCCTTCTGTGGTGCTGCAGAGTTGAGGACATGCAGAGCAAACCACTGGTCTTCAAGCCAGCAGCACTGCCTTCCAAATCTCTGGCTGCCCATACGACGGTCATGGTCATAGTCTCCCTAGCATCTCCAGCGAAGCAGGCACCCAGCCTGCCTTGTCATTTTTGTCTGCAGGAGCAGGGGACAGTAGCTTTCAAAAGGACAGTTCCCACCACAGAAAGGTTAGCTGTAGACAATACCTAATACCCGAGCAATGTGGACCGCGGTGGGAAAATGACAGAAAGTAGGGAAGCAGCAGATGCAGATATAAGTCACAAGTCACAGTGCTGGGGCTGTCGAGGAATGCTAACACAGCCCTGCCAGTGTCCAACATCGTGGGCCAGCTAAGCCCCGGATGGACACACTGCTGTGATGGAGGATACTGGTTGCTTTTTTTTTGTTTGTTTGTTTGTTTTTTAACATAACGGAGTTGAACTGATACCTCTAAATGTGCTGGGGTTCAGTCAAAGGTGAGGACCCTGAATTGAGGCACTGCCCTTCTCTGGGGGCAGTGAAGAGTGTTAATACCCTTGCCTGGGTCCCCGTCTCAGAAATTCTGATTCCATCTGTCTGGGGTAAGGCTTAGGCATCGGGTTCGTTTTAAAGCTCCCCGAGTAATTGTGACATGTGGCTGAGACCCCCCATTAGGAGGAGCAATCAGGACAACTCAACATGCTGAGCTCATCATTGGTCTAGGTGGCCAAGACCCTTGGAGGCAGCGGGGCGGTGCGTCCTTGGAACTCCAGATGACAGAACTTCCTTTCCCTGTGTAGGGTCCTGGCCTGGCTGTGGGCCTCATTCGGAAACATGTAATCAGTGCAGCACGGAGCTGCGTTTTTTCTACACACCTGGGTTTCCCAAAGCCATTTTTTGAGTCCACCTGACCAGCTCTCAACAACCTTCTCTCTGCCCACACCAGTCCTGATTTACTGGAACCAATGGGAGTTCCCACTTTCTCCAGGGCAGTTTCAAGAGTCATCTCAAATTCACTTGAAAGCCAACAACAGTATATGGCATTTAAGTTCGGGCAAGGGGAAGAAGAGCGAGGACATGAATAAGGGCAGGGCAACACACTGCCAAGAACTTGGGAATTCTGGTGTAAGGAATGAACCAGCCCCAATCTGCCTATGTCAGCGGAGCAAAGAGGAAGTTGGACTCATTTGTAAAGTGACTTCTTTGTTTCCCTTCAAAGCATGATACCTTAATGGGAGGAAAGCAATGGGAGGGAAAAACCTACCAGTGCATCAGCTTTGTGCTTCAGCTTCTTAGCCTCTTGCATGTAATAATCAGCATTGTGAACCCTAAGGAAATAAAACGGGCTCTTTCAGCAACCAAAGGTTCATCTTTTTAATGAAAGACTGAAGAGCCACAAATGGTTTTGCTATAAATGCATTCCAATGCAATGCCCTCAAAAGGGCAGGTGAACGCTATCATTCATAGAATAACCAACCTTGTAATAAGCCCGGAAGTGTAATGTGAAGTGCATAATGGTCCATTGGGATCGATAACTGTCCCCTCCAACCCAACCATTCCACTGTCCAAACATCCCGTGGACCCCAACGAACGTAGCTGCTTCTGGCACACTGTTCAATCTGAGGACACGGATAAGAAAGGGGGGCCAAAGCAACCTAGAATTAAGCACCTGTCTTTGGAAATGGTACCCGAGCTCCATGATAAAAATGGGCCAAAGACATTTCTCGGTGTGGACAAGGGGGTGTGTGGGGAGGAGGGTCTGCCGCTGAGGTTTTACTTTGGGTGGCCCGCGCGTGGTGCTAGAAAAGCCATCCTGCCTGCACCCACCCCCATGCACCGCTCCCACACCGTGTCCATGATGATCTGGGGACAACATACGAGTCGTCAAAAGTGAGCTTGGGTCTCCGGACACTGGTGGTGCTGCTGGACAGAAGGGGCAGGGCTGCCCAGGACGCCATCTCCAGGTGACTGCTGTCCATGAGGCCGGTAGTGATGGTAGAGGTGATGGTGGAGATGGTTGTCGTAGTGGCTGTGGTAGTGGCTGTGGCAGTGGCGGTCGCGGTGGCCGTGACAGTGGCAGTGACAATGGCAGTAGCAGTAACAGTGGCAGTGGCAACAGCTGTGTTGGTAACCGTGATGGTGGCAGAGGGTGTCTTTTTTGGAGTGTCTCCATCCTGGGAGAAAGGACAAATAGCTGCCATAAGGTCTGGCCTCTTAGAACGTCTTTTCATATATATTTTGAATGTCAAGCACAGTAGGAAACAAGGCAAGAGAAAGAAAACAATGCACACAGCTTGAGAATAAACAGGTGACCCTGGTAGATCACCAGCTTTTGTTCTGTGATGATACCAACCTTGGTGGTATCTGCTCGGAAGGTATCCACCTTCCGCTCGTCAGGTGCCGTGATTACATAAGCCCCATTATCCCATCAAGACAGCCATTGGCAGATCTCGTAGGAGACGTGGGTGGGGAGGGGAGGAGGGAGAGAAAGACAGAGGAGGAAGGAAAATGAAGACAGAGCAAGGGTAAGTGTGAGGGTAGGGGATGGAGAGAAAGCAAGAGAGGTGACCCTGAAACAGCCCAGAAACTTTCACGAGGGTAAATAAGGTTCTCCAGTCACTCTGCAAAATGCCATAATCCAGTGCAGCAAACCAGGCCTTATACCCTGGGACCAAGGCTGAAGCTGCCCTTTTGTTCACTGAGGCCTTGACTGATGTCTGGCTAGGTGAACGTCACATGAGTGCCTCCTCATTTTGAAGTCTTGGGATGGTGAAAGCTCATTTTGACCAGATCAAAAACCAAATGGGCAAGAGATTTCTGGGTTTCACTCTGAACTGTCATTGCCATGGAAAGAGTGGAATCAAGCTGAAGAAACTAGGTGGCAAGATTTGTACTTCTGTGACAGTATGTGTCATGAGACCATGGTAGACTCGGCCCTCCCCACTTGGCAATGGTGCCATGATCCTGACTGTTCTATCTCTGACCATGCTTGCCATGGGACCTCCTCCTCCTTCTGCTTGTCTGAGTTGGTATCTCTCTAAGTTTGGTATCTCCCAAGGTTCATTCCTCAGGTCTCTTCTTTCCTGACCTTAACAGGATTTGCCAATCCCGTATGTGTTGGTGCAGATTTGACAATATGCGGATCACTGCCAAAAGGAAACCTCAATCTTAGCCTCTCTCTGTAAAGCTCCAGATGTGCGGTGATCACCTCTGGCTCATTATCACCAAGATGGCCCATTAGCCCCTCAAATTGCCCTGAAACCAAACTGATAACCAAACCAGTTCCCTCCTTCTGTTAACGGCGGGATGGTCTTCCCTTGTCACCCAGGCTAGATTTCTCCGTGGCAGTAAGGGCACTGTGGTCATCCCTGGGCTAGGAGCATTGGAAACAGTGTACTCCCCACCTTGCCTTCCATCTGAGCTGCTCTGCTTTAATCAGCTCTATATATTGAAGTGCTGTAAATTCCTTCATTTCAAAAAATGATAATGATCCTAAAACTCTTTTGAAAAGAGCCTCAAAATAAAGTGAATTTCCCTGCTCTATTTCGTCTTTAATTTCTTCCTCTCCATTACCCTTACCCAATCCATTACAAAGTCCTATTCATTGCACCTCCCCACCGTTTCTCAAATCTGTGCCTTCCTTGTCTGATGCCTCCAAGTGCGGGCCCTCGTGGCTCCTGACCTAGACCATCAGGCTCCTGGCTGGACCCCCGACCTTGGAGCCAGCTTTTCCAATCCATTCTCAATCTGCTGCTGGCGTGCCAGAGCTTCTCACACAAAGCTCCATGCATTTTACTGCCTTGCATCCAAAGGCAAACTCAAGGCTGAGCTCCTTTGCTGGCCCGTGAGGTCCTCCCTGATCTGGCTTCAGCTTTCCACTTGATCTCCTGCTACTCATTCCCATGGACCTTCCCCAAGACTGAACACATCCTGTCTTCTTCACTTTCCTGCTTTGGTTCATGTGGAGTCTTAGAGTTGAAAGAACCTTCCCTTCATTGCCTTTCCTTTTTCACCTTGCGATAATTTGCTCCACTTCTTAATTTAAAAAAAAATTGCGGGGGTGCCTGGGTGGCTCCGTCGTTAAGCTTCTGCCTTCGGCTCAGGTCATGATCCCACGGTCCTGGGATCGAGCCCCGCATCGGGCTCCCTGCTCCGCGGGAAGCCTGCTTCTCCCTCTCCCACTTCCCCTGCTTGTGTTCCTGCTCTTGCTGTGTCTCTCTCTGTCAAATAAATAAATAAATAATCTTTAAAAAAAAATTGTGGTAAAATACATACGACTATCTTCTTTCACTCAGCATCAAGTCCTCAAGGTTCATCCACGTTGTAGCACGTGTCAGAATGTCCTTCCCTTTTAAGGCTGAAGAATATTCCATTGTATGGACAGATCACAGTTTGTTTAACCCCCTCCCTTCATTTTTAAACTGTCCTCACCTACTAAGGCCCAGCTCAACAAATGCCTTCTCCTCCAGGAAAACCACCTTATATGTCCACAGCCAGAAGTACTTTAATCCTCCCTGGTCCCTTCAGAGATCTGAAGTCTGTCTCAATCCCTCTCTATGACACCAACCACCAGCCATTTTATATTGTAGTTCTTTGAGCACATGTCTCATTGCTTACCTTATAATGAGAACTCTCAACACTGGCACCATCTCTGATTTCTGACATCGCTACACCGCCCCATCCCCCCACCCCACAGCCTTGTGCCCCCACTAATTTGCTGACTGCGTGCACCCCTACCTGCCTTAGTCAAAAGGGTCAGTTTAAAAATAGAAGTCACATGTGACCATTTCTTATGTCCAAGCAAGTCTATCTTTTCCACTTTATCCTGGATCTTCTGATTATCAAAACTTCTTACTACCAAGAACTCACTGAGAGAAATGTGGTGAGAGGCTATCCATCTAACAATTGTTATGATGGATAGGGAGAAAATGGTTGACAAATCATCATGGATTTTATTCAACCCAAACACAGAAAAACATCGAAGCCTTCTAAAAGTCCATGTTTCTACTGCGAAAGCCAGATGGCCCAGACAAAACAGTGGAGTCAGCCCAAGATGGTCCCTCTCGTCTCTATGGTCAAGATATGTGACAAGGACCCCAAAGCACCTCAGCCACTGCGCACATGGCACTGAGGTCAGTCCTGGCACATTTGACCTGAAATGGCTGCATTCAGCCATGATCATGCAAGTTATATAAACATGTCCTCCGTCCGTGCTCAGCCGTCCATTGAATCAATAAACAAGACTTCACGCAAAAGTGGAACACAGAAGACCCTGAGAGCACAATACTGAAAACACTTTGGGAGCTGGAAAAAGCCTTATGAGTTCATCCAGTCAAATCCACTCATTTTATGGACTCAGAGCACTTTTGTAATTTGCCCAAGGCCACAGAAAACCTACTGCAGTTTTAGCACTATGCACCAAGCCTCTTAACTCCCAGGCTAGGGCAAAAATGTACCCGTCTTCCAGCTTTCAAGCCATTTATGAAAAGAAGGGGCAATGGGTAGTCAGTCATGGGAGCCTCTCATGGAAGACTCCAGTGAATTCCTTAAGGAGGGCAATCCATTTCTAGGTGCAGATGGAACCATATTATCAGGTTTCCCTAGCAGCTTTTAACTCTTGTAGAAATGACTTCGCAGATTCTTGTAAGCATCACCATTGTCGTGATCACAACTGTATTAAGCACCTAATTCTTTGGGACAATATACCAGGCACTGTACAAAGAGAATCGCCTAGGTCTGGCATATGCCCTCCCAAAGCTCGCAATAGAAAAGAGAACCAGTTGGAGTTTACCATATTAATTACATTCAGTATGAAAAATGCGATTGATAGTATAATTACTGTTTAGAATAGATGGTTTAATTTCTAACAAGGTCAGCATTTTTAAATGTGAATGCAAATATTATGTAGGCACATGCACGCACGTGCACACAAAATTTCATATGGAAAATGACTATTTTACAGTAGCACAATTTCTCTATACCAGCATTGAAATTTGCCTAGATATATGCGTGCCATGCCAGTCATCTCAGATGATGGAGGACTCTACGTTGGAGTCCTTCAAGCTCAGAGGCCTCGTGGCTTTTCATGGAGTGGTAAATGGGCACGTTTGGTCCAGGGTCTACCAGGTTGGCATCAAGATATTTGAAAGCTCATTGATTTTCCTGTATTTGCTTTTTTACATTACACTTAAAGGAGACTAGATGCATACGGGTGCTACATCTGCATATACATGCATTTACATAGAAAAACAGATGCATTTGTCAATAATATTCACTGGTGACACTTTGCTTGTGGCTTCTGTGCTTCAGGTACTTATACCCCAAACAGATGGAAAGACCGCGCGGGATGTGAAAAGTGATACAAAGTCCCAATTTTCTATGCTAATGGAGCAGCAGTGCTGAAAATACAAAGGGCTGAATAATCCTTTAGTTGCGCTTAGAACCACAATTGTATGATTTTTAGCAACAGATTCACCTTTTAAGTTCCATCCTTTTGAGTCACTATTTTAAACACAATTCACACCTGCTAAGCTGGGTGGTGGGAAGATGCAACTGGGAGTTGCAGCTCCAGTCCAGTGACCTTGAGCAATCCCACCCCATCCATTGGTTCTTTCATTCACTAAATGATCAGCGCCTACGCCACGTGCTCAATCAGTATTTTGTGTGTCCCCACCGCTGAGATATGAAAGTATTGGACCAAAGGATGTCCAAAGCCCCAAGTCTCCGCATAATAATCTGCTGGGAGAAGTAAGGCTGGAATGAAAAATTCATCCTACATGAGAACAATTGAGGTTTGAAATAATGGAGAGTTTGCATATTTCTGTACACTGTTCTCTCTGCTTCTTCCTCCCATCCCCCCGCAATCACATCTGGTTAGACAAGCTGCGTCAACCTGTTTATACCTGATGATTATAGTATTTCTTCTGAGATGCTTACATTTACGGATATCCCTTTGAAAGTAGCACAGAATTTGCCTTCACTCCTCTTCGGTTTGGTAGAGGTGATCTGTCCGATCATAGGGATGGTTTTGTCTTGACCAAAGGGGCCATTGCTGCCACTGATGTTTCTGCGGCGTGGAGGGTCCTCCGGCAGTGGGGAAAGTGGAGGAGGAAACAGCTTTTCTTCTTTCCTTCTATTTGCTCTCCTGGATGAACTGTTTCTGTGTAGACAAAAAGCATAGGGTGTCACAAAATTTTGTTGCTCTCTCGTGATTTTTCCCATGATGCGGGTACTTTCAACTTAAGTACTATTTTAGTTGATGGCCCTTTAGCTATGGTGAAGAGTATATATAAAAATGCATGTAGACATAGATATCTATAGAGATATAGAGCTATAAATAAATGCAAATATATGTATCCAAGAATAAACACATGTCTTTGAAGCAGAACTCCGTGGTAAATGTAACTGTCTAATGGAGGGTGCTACAGTGTGATATTTGCAACCTTTCAAGATTCCTCTTAATTAGATTTTTATGGAAAATCCAATGCAGACTTTAATCCCATCATTTTTTAGGATGGTTCCTACTTACTTTGCCCTAGGACTTAACTGCATAATCACACAATAAATGGTACAATAAACAATTAGCAGAGGGATATTTTCTTAAGAAATATTATGCTTGTACATTACTTAGCTATCAATAACACACGAAATATTTTGTGACACATCATGAGCCGTATGTCCAACATGTTCTAGGCCCACGCCAAGGCATAAGAAGCCCCTGACCTTACGCTGTTATACTGGAGTACTGATGTGCTCCTCTTTACGGAACCCATTTGAAAACTATTTTGTCATATAGCCACAAGACATCTGTAGTCCTAGAAGTACTCCCGTGCTTTCAGACTGATTTATCTGCCCATTAAATGGGCACCATCAAAGAGACAGAGACTTCGGATAAAACAGAACAACTAAAACCTTATGCTAGCTGCTTAACATGGTAATTGGGTCATGGATTTTCATTTTAGTTATTGTCTTAGCCTAATCAATGAAGATTACTTGAATTTTAATCTTTTCTTAGACAACTAATATTGCACTGTGCAGCCATTTACTTTCCATGATTATTGACTACAATTTTCAATAGCAAATTAAGTCAACAAGAATTTATGTTTTCCTCTTTGTCAATTTCAGTCAGTGTCTAGAAATATAGATTTACAATTTCTCAAGGCAACAAATCAAAGATGAACAAGCATTCACGTGGTCTGGTTTCCTGAGATGGTAGAAGTCAATGCAACTCCTTGTTCCCTTCCACTGTGTTGCCCAAATTTGCCAACTGTAATAGTATTTGCCATCTTCTCTATCTTTTGTTTCATAAATGTGGCTCTATGTCAAGTTTTGTCAAGCAGCAAAATATTTAAAAACAGTAACTGTTTCTGCCATTACCTTAATTAGTTACGATTAATCAAAAACATTTGCCAATGGATTTTAAAAATTGCTTTGACACACAGAACCACTTTAAGATAACTGTGATACTCGATTAAAGAATGGTGAACATCTGGATTAAAACTCATGCCCATGAGGAAGCTCCACAAACATCAGCCCCCACTAAGTGTGATCATTACGGAGACATCGGACTTCTGGGAATTTGTATAGAGGGATGTCAAGCATTGCTGGGGCGTCTATGGGAGGTGAATGGTTCATTAGCTACAGCCACTCCTCCGCTACTTGAGCTGCATCTGATTTGCCATTGGCCATGACAGTCGTGCTTGGCCTTCCCATCTGCCACTGTACACAGAACACTGCACACAGTCCAGCACACTCTGTGCAGTGGGCACCGGTCACCTGGGTCCCTTTCCATCTGTTTCGTAGTGAGCTGGAACCATGGGGCCTTTAATAACTTTCAGGGAGCATTTTCTAGACATCACTCTATCACTGTTATGGCTTCTTATTACGAGAAGAGGTTTTGCCACTTTGGACACCTCTTGTAGGCCGAGGGGGACAGCAGACAAGAGGTGTGTCACTACCACCACCCAATGCATCAGAGGCCCTGCTGATGGTTCAAGCTCCTGAGGAGGTGTGTGTGTGTGGGGGGGAGGGGTGGGCCTCAGTGGGGCCCTCCTGTTGGATGACGGGGAACTGCAGCAGTCATAGTCTGGCGTGGCATTCTTTGCTGGGTTTAGAACATTCATTTAGAAAAGTGAATGTCTCATACAAATTTCCAAGGATTTGGTTTGGAGGGTCAACAAGGCACAAAGGAGCAGGCAGAACTTGAGGAGATGGTTCCCAAGAGAAGAGCCCTGAGAAGCCAGTCCTCCCTTCCTTTTCTCTCTCTCTCTCTCTCTCTCTCTCTCTCTCTCTCGGCTCTGGAGATTTTTCCACAGACCTGGGTTTGTTTGATGAGCCTAAGAATCTGCTCCAGGCCCTTCCTGAATGATAAATGCTACTAGGTAAACACTGCGTTCCTAACGACTACAAAAGCAGAAAGACTGTAAAGACCATGAGTTAGCAACACCATTTTATGAACAAACTCAAATTATCAGACGTTTATTTAAAACTTGGTTGTGTCTCTTCCACGAGATGGGAGAAGTGGCGGGTCGCTGGGCTGCTTAGGGAGGCTAGCATCAGAGGCTGATGGTTGCAGCAATGCCTCCTGCCCTTTCCCTGTGCCTTCGGGTGGCCTGAATAGGTCACAGCCTGGGAACTGGGGAGCTCTGGCCACCACAACCATGCCATTTCAGTCTGTCCTCCAGGGAAAGAGGAGGGCCGTGGAAGGACCATCCTTGATCACCGGGGGAAGGAGCATGCTTCCCCACAGGCCTGGCTCACTCAGGGGTAAAGAGGTCAGCTTGCCCCATTGGAAAGGATGCTCGTCCTGAGAACTCCAAGTATGCCAAGGGATGTTTCAGAGCAAAGTTATACCAGACGCACCGTATAAAGAGCCACAGATCCTCAGGGAGAAGGGCAGCTCGGGGCCCCAAGCTCCTTATTATACCAAGTGGATATAGTGGTAATTGGTCTTTTCCTACCTTTCATCTCAAAACAATAAGGATCTCAACAACTATAAGCTGAAAACTTATTTCTGACATCTTATCTGTGGCAGATTGATATCGTATCACTGATGTGAAACAGTAATCTGTGAAATCAATTGTTAGCAGCAGTTAGCCAGATTGCCTCTCTGCTCTGGGCTGCTAATAGGGTCCCAAACTGGTCTTTGATGGAAGTAATCTCTAATGTGGAATGAATTTATGGCAATAATTATCCAGATGGAATGGTTTCAGTTGCTGACCGTTAGTTAAGTGATATTTCTAAGATGCAAGAACTTGGTCACAACCCTTGGTAGCAACAGAGCCCAGGACTTCTCCAGGGAAGGCTGGGGCCATCTGAGTGAGGAGGTCTCCTGCCTGACTCTGGCACTTTATGCAAAGAGGTGCACACAACGGCCCCGGGGGACGGCAGCTCCCAGATGTCCCCTCTCTCCGGCCTCCTCAAACATGTCACTCCCCTGGCTTCTCAGGAGGTCAGGATGGACCTACTAGTCCTCAGGCTCTGTATTCAGGTTACGGAATGGCACCAAAGAGGAAGCAGCAGCTGGGTCATCATGCAAAGCCTGCTTTCATCACCATCAAAACCGGAAGTTGCCCAGAAGCAGATGATCTGGGTGCTGTCCCATTTTAATTCCTTCACACCTTTTACTCTTCCCTTGGTGCTAAAAGGTCACTTTGGCCGAGTTTGGTCCTCCACGTGAGGTGGAGTAAAGAAAGATTGCTATAAAGCTCATGGAGTCATGCAAAATCTGGCAGCGTGCATTCCTGCCTTTACCCCACCCTTGTTAGACCAGCTGTCAGGACTGGCTGAGCAACTTCTGTTTCCTGACCTTCCATTCCTCTGAAACAGAACCGCCCCCCCCCGCCACCAAAAGGTTTCCTTTGAGGTTTCTGTGGGGGGGGGGTCCGAAAAGTCGAAGTGTCATACAAAGACAGGGCAGACTCACTCTCTAGCGTGGGGAGGCTTGTGGGGTGGGGCTGGTGAGATGCAGGGGGGCAGCAGGCAAATAGTGGTGGCCTCCTCCAGGCGTTGCTTCTTCTCAGGGATTTTCTCTGTGATCTCTGTTGGCTTTAACGGGAAGAAAAATACAGAGCTTGAAATACATGGCACATGCAGACATTGAAAAACCATGAGCAAGGTAGACAGTTTGCTTCTATTTTAACTTCTAGGTTAGCCAGGGGAGTTAAATGCGCACCTTTGCTCAGACAGAAAAGCAATCAGCCAAGGAGCTTACATTTGAGCCAGCTGAGCTGCGCTATGAACCTCTGATTAAAGATTGGGTGGCACAGGAATCTCCTACCAAAAGTAAAGAGAACCTATCATTTTCAGACCCTTCTTCCATCAACAATGTCCCCACAGATGAGTAGCGGAGAAACTAACACTGCAACTCTAACATGGCACGAGGCTGTGCAAACAGCACGGGGATTGTGGGTTACATATAAAGGTCACTTATACAATCAACATGCCAGGCAATAAACCATGTGTAAGACATGCCTTTGCATGTGCCGGTTCTAAAGGGATGCTTTTGCCCCTGGATGCCCGCTGTCATCTTGAAGAGCAGGGAAGCAGTAAGAGGGCAAGAGCCCCAGACTTCCTATGGGTTTCCCCTTCTGACAATAGTTTTCTGTTTTGTTTTGTTTTTTTAAAGTAATCGCTACACCCCACATGGAGCTCGAACTCATGACGCCAAGATTAAGTGTTACATGCTCCACTGACTGAGCCAGCCAGGCGTCCCTGCCCTTCTGGTGATAGTTTGTAGCCCTGGAATTTAGCCCTAACCTCTTGCAGGTGAGGTTTCCACCAGTCGGGCCCACCACACAGCTCAGGAGACCCAGCAGGCTGAGCAGACTGTGTGTCTGCTAGGAGCTGGGAGCATCAAAGTGTTACTGGGGTGCGGGGATGCCAATGTGTGTCCGGAGAAATTAACAAGGCCCAGGGGACGCGCGCTGAGCCCTTGGGAGCACCTGGGTGCCCTGCTGCTGCCGGGGTGGGGACTGTGAGGTGTGGCCCCGTGAGTCCATGAAAGCAGGGGTGGCTTAAGGAGCCGATCCCAGGGACTGGCTGCCTGGGGAAGGCAACTGTCTCCACAGTCTTCTTTCCTACACATCATAATCCCCCATGTGCTATTTCGGATACTCTTCACATTGGCTGACAAACCCTGACCACTCCTAACACTTCCTCCCCGGTCACGTCAAATACCGCATCTCCCATGGAAAGCATCATTGCCCTCACCAGAGACTGCAATCCATTGTCATTAGCCTCCTTGCACATGAGGCTCAAGATCAAGTTCGCCAACACAGAGCCGCTGCTCATGATCCCTCAGCAGACCATGGTGGGGCGGAGGTGGGGGGGAGAGGGGGGACAGCTTACCTTGTGCTTACGCTTGCCCTTAGGGACGGGTTTTTCAGCGGCTGCAGCAGTGGTCTGGCGCTTGGGCTTGGACGCAGTCTCCCTGTGGTCCGGCTTGGCTGGCGCTGCTTGCACTGAGTGGTGGCCAGGCACTCTAGACAGCAGGTCAAGGTCAATCTTCACCCACAGATTTTTCAGGTTCTCATGGTCTCGTAGAGGGGACAGCAGCTCGGTTTGCATGACAGGGATGGGTGAAAATGCTGGCTCCTCACCACTGGTGGTTAGGCTGTTGTTGCTGCTGCTGACCAAGGAGCTGAGGGTCAGGCTGGCCCCACAGGCTTCCTTGGATTTGGCAGTATTGCCCCCCGGAGCGATGCAAGGAGGCAGCACTTTGATCTGCAGGGTCTCTTCCTGATCTGTGTTGGAATCGGACGTGGACGAGTCCGTTTCGATGAATTCCCGGGACTTTGGCACGATCTTGCCAGGCCCTCTGTACTTCTTTTTCTCAGCAGGCAAGGGAACGTTTGGCCTCGGTTCCTTCCTAGGGACTGGTTTGTGGGCAGTGGCCTTGTTGCGGCCTCTTGGTGGGTCAGGAAGCTCCACGCTTTCTTTTTCTTTGGGGGTGCTGCTGGTAATATTTGGTTTGGGCCAGGTAAACTCGTCAATGCTGGTGTTCTTCTCGACTTTTTTGGGCTGTTTTTTTCCAATTGTCCTTTGAGACGCTGTCTCAATAGTTGTTGACAACTTATGCTTCAAAGCCTTTGTTTCTGGAGTTTTCTGGGTCGGCCGTGGACGGGCTTTCTCCCTGATAAGACTGAGGAGAGGCCTCTCTTTGGGTTCAGCCAGGACCTGGCTGGGGGCTGTCTTCACTTTGACCTGGACTTCCATTGGCTGGATGACTGGAGGAGGCACAGAAACCGTCTCCATGGGTGTTTCATTTTGGCCACAAATAAACGACTTGTTCTGGGATGTCACTTTGTTAAGCCATTTATCCAACTGCCACTTGTTGGTTGAGGGTGGCTCAGGCTGCAGATGAGAAACAATGGTAAGAGTGACTCTCACATCTTGGAAAAATCTGGAAGGACCCTCCGTACACGGAGTGCTGATAAAAGCTGTGGATGTTAAGTGCCCAGTCACACATTTAGAGACCCACACACAGAATCTAAATTCATCAAATTACCCAGAGAGACAAATACTCTGCAAACCAGCCCCGATCTACTTATTTCAACAAACTTCCACTCCTCTTCTGAAAACAGTTTCCACTCCGGCCAGGAAGGAAAGAATTATTCACAGAGAGTTTTCCCAGAGGGTGGGCATGGAGGCCTGGCAGAGAAACCTGTTCCCAAAATCCTTTGGTGGGACTCATTGCTCAACCTCTCACCAGGAGGCAGAGGTAATGATCTCGGGTCCTGAAAAGCAACGTGAGCGTGCCTCAAGTGTAATTCAAAAGGAAAGACTTTCTATTCGCCAAAGTGCCAGTGTCTCCTCTATGATGCTGTAATTCACTGCAAAAAAGAACAGCCTTTTCTATTTGTACTGAAGGATGAAAAGATTTGACTTCCCCCAAACCAGCGCACTTTCCTCGGTGTATGGGCAATAACCGATTTATGGGGACATGCATGCAGACATTAGTGTCCGCTGTTCAGCCGCGGATATGATGCGTACAATTCAGGTGCTTGATTCCCAACTCTGAATTCTGCCTGTTGAACTAAAAGAGCCATCGTTTTTATTACAACTGCTCTTCTTTTGAAAGCCAATCAGCTGAGGCTTATGGCGCCAGCCGATAGAGGGTGACAGAATTAAAAACACTTGAGTAGCTGTGAGTCCGGCGCACACAGGGCAATGGCAGGCCAGGGTCGGGGACATCGTGTCGGCTGGCGCTGCTGGTTAGGGGCACCGGCTCTGCGGTGCACAGACCCCGGTTTCAGCCCTGGCTCGACCAATGTCTGCCTGGGAGATCTTGGGAAATTTCTCTCTTAACCTCTCAGAACCTTATTCTCTAGTTCATAAAATGGGGATAGTAGCAGCAAGGACCCCAGAGAAGTGTTACGAGGATAACATGAAAAAGTGCAGGCCAAGAGCTTCTCACGGTGCCCAGCCCAGGGCCCACGTCCAAGCAGTGTTGGCTGCGATCAATAGCCAGATTGGCGCTACTGCACTCTCCAGTATTCCTTTCCGATGATTACAAACAAGTGCGCATGGAGCCCTGGGAGGAATCTGCCTGCCATACACGGTGTAGGCTCGGGGGCGCCAAGGGGTCATTCTGGACTCAGAGCGGATGGGAGGGGAAGAGCACATTGTTTTTTATCTCAAAAGTGTAATTTGGGCATCTTAGGGTATTAGGTATTTGCATGAATTATTATCAAATACATTTGGAGGATGCAAATCGAAATTTGAAAAAATCCATCCCATTTCCTGGGTCTTCCTTGCCAAGTGGCAACTCATTATTCAACCTGGAGTCAGGGGTGGTGTCCCCAGGGCCAGAAGTGGGTCTGTTGACTGGTTCTCTCAAAAGAGAAGCTGCTAGCCTGGTTATTACTCTTCCACATTTACACACGAGGAAGCTGGAGGCTCAGAGGAGCTCAGTGAGTCACACAGCAAGGAATGTCCGTATTTTAGGGACTGTGCACATATATGTTTTAGAGGGAAATAAATGCTATCAGATACCCAAATACTTTCCTGAAATATTGATTGCTTTGCGCGCGCGTGTGTGTTTGTGTGTGCGCGCACTGGGAGGGCCACCCACCCGGGGTGACAGGTGACAGGCAAATCGTGCTCGCAGCCCCCGCCCCTTCACCCACCTCTGGAGTGGCCGCGCGAGGCGCCTCATTGGATTCGCTGTCAGTGGTGCTGCTTTCAGTGTCTGAGTCTGACTCGGAGCTGCTCTCAGAGTCACTGGAGCTGCCAGATCCCCCGCTGGCTGGCACCACAGCTGGGGGCTGCGGTGTGGCCAAGAGTGGGCTGAAAGAAAAATGACATCATCCATTGCCTCATTTTGTCTCACATCAGTGGGCCAAGGGCCCCCCCGTGCAGCATCAGGGCCTGTGATCTGTCAAGTAGAGGCAGAGTGGAGCACACCGTCCCATTCTACAGATAGGAAATTGAGGCTCAGGAGGCCCCGCGAGTTGCTGGAGGTCAAACATTTCGTTAGAACCAGGCCTGCGTGGGGCCAAGTTCCTTGGGTTCCAGGACACCCCGCCTTCCCTCTCAGGAAAGCCTAGCATGCCACATTCCACATGAACACTTTAAGCCAAGGGTGCTTGCCTTCTGGACACAGACACAGATACCACAGACCGCCGCCCAGCCTTAGATTCTTAACCGTCCCATGCTTTTTTGGTTAAGCTAAGTTTTCATTTTCTATCGCCATCTTGTTCAGAAACCCAGAGGTTTGTCACGGGCCTGTGATCTCAGCTGTACACACGGTATAGTCCTCTCACCAAGGAGGGGTGAATTCAACCCCCATTTTAATCGGAGGAAACTGAGGTCTGTCGGGAGAGAGGCTGTTGGAGAAGTGAGCTGGGGGCTCCAAGGGCAGGGACTGTGAGAAGCATGTTCACTGCCAGGTGCCCAGCACCCAGCCCTGAGGGGACCAGAGTCACATTTCTTGGCCTCGTGCACCCTGATTTTTGTAAACGCTTTGTAAAACTCTTACCGGGAGGTATGATCATAAGGGACCAAGCAAGTCTAATGATTGATTTCAAATTTGTGAAGCTGATCAAGCAAAGCATTTGAAAATTGACACCACTTGCCACTCTGCCTTTATTGGTAATCAGTAGTCTTCCTTACTAATCGTTTGCTCGCCGTGCCTGTAACAAATCGTCCCTACTGCCTCCTGGCATGTCGGGTGACATGCTTGCCCCTGTCCTCGGGCTCACCGTGAGAAGTGGGGCTCCAGCCTCAGGGGGTGGGGAGGACTCTCATCTCCCCCCCGCCATCTCAGCAGCCCAATCCCCTCTTTGGAGGTAAGTTCAACGGTGGCGAGGGCCGGGCTCACTGCTGCTCACGCTCCCAGGTCCTGGCCGGGCTCCCCCACCCCCAGCTCATTCAGGAAAGTACAGTCCTAGTCCAGGAGGGCACCTCGTCCTGTGGTCCCACCTTCAATCTGGAGCGAGAGGGACCCCAAGGACCCCTCTGCCCAAGACTCTGGAGGCACAGAGCATCATTCCTTGCCTGCCCCCACCCCACCCCCTCAGCAGCACCCGTTTCTCTGCCCGTTGAGCTGGAGCCACACTGAGCGGCTGCCTGGGAAGGAACAGGATCCTCTCTAAGCCAGCACGGGCCCCTTGTCAGTCCCTATCCAACGCAGAGAGCCTTTTCATTCCATGTGCCTTGCCTCCCTGAAGGCTGCCCTTTTAATCTCCCAGGTAGGTATTTTCTTTCATATAGCAAAGCTCATTTTAAAATGCTATCTGCTAAGTAAATGCTATCTGAAAGTACATTTCTCTGCCAAATACACCAAGAGATTAGGAGAAGCAGAGGAAATAGGGGACTGTATCCCCTGGGAAAGCGTGTGTGTGTGTGTGTGTGTGTGTGTGCGTGTGTGCGTGCGTGCGTGTGTGTGTGTGTGTGTTACGTCCCTGACAGTGGGGGCAGGGACCTACAACCCAGTGCTCTCCTTCCCTGCGTTCTTTTCCAGGTCTCTCCTTAATGGCAGTAAAGACTCCATATTTATGCAAAGTACCTCTAAATCTAATCAATTGTTTTTGTCTTTGGTTACTAAATAAAGACTGAGAGAACAGATTTAATGAGACCAATCCAGACATTATGCTAACTTGGCCTCAATTCCCCCCAAGTAACATTTCAGGTCCAGCATGGAGCAGCCGCAGCCCTGAGCTGACTGGCTGCCGGACGGAGATAAAATCAAACTCATGCTCACATTTATGATTTGCAAGTGAAAAGCGGTTTTCTAGTTTTCTTTCATATCTGTGCATTAATGTCTGGCTTCTCATAAGACTCCGCTTATCCTAATGTTACTAAACTCGGGTCTGGGTTTACTCTGGAATATTTCTGGAGAGAGTTTCCACTTACTGGCTCATTGTTGAGCAACTGCCGTAAGAAACAAAACAATCCCAGGGATTATTCCCCTAAAACTGAATGCACTGAGGGGATACACATAAAGTACAGATGTTTTATTTCCCAGAATAAAGTTACTCATCAGCTACACCACAATAAACCTTCACGGACTTAGTTGCAAACTTGTGTATGTGCGCGTTTATACATACACAGGTGTTCCTTATCCAAAGCCCTTTGGAGGGGAGAAGAATTCTGACGCTCAGATTTTTTAATTTTAACAATGTGAATATACCACATATATATAATACTGCAAGGGGGATCTGGGGAAGGATCCCTTAATAAAACTCACTAATATTGCTACAGTAACATTAACAGTAAGAGGTCGGGATCTGTCATGAAATGAGTTTGTCTCAAAGTTCCGGAAAATGACAGCTCTCAGGACTTTTTCAATTTCAGAATTGTGATTAAGGGATTGTGGATGTGGACAGAAACCACATATGGAAAACGGACTATATAATGTACAAGTAAACATAGATAGATATGGATATGAAATAAAGACTCTTTCAAACCTCAGAGTGACCTTGACTGAGACCCAATAAAATGAGACCTAAGATTATTTTCCCTAAGACTTCTTACAGCTAAATCTCTTGCTGTTCTCAGGAAGGACCCCACGGCCAGTCAATATGGACAATGTCCCCTTAAGGGAGACTAGTGTAGAAAGAACAGGAAGAGGCTCACAGCTTTTCATACCCACCCCGATGAACACGGATGCTTGGGGATGAGAGGGAAGGTGGACTTGAATTCAGAGAGGGTACTAAGAGGACTCCAACTGGGGGTGAAGGACTTGAGCATCTTAATGAGAAAGAATTGCTTTCTCTGGGCAGTTGCACAGTTGGAAACAGGGAGGGAATAACAGTTGCTTAAAATGGAAGCAAAATTGCTCTCCCCGGTACCTCCCTCCGCCTCTATTATCCATCTGCTGTTCCTGGGCTTGCTGGAGCATCTGGCTGCACCCAGCCTGCGGAGGAATGTAAGCCACATATTTGAGTCTGTCTGACCCTCACTTCCTCTCGGCCCACCTTGCCCTCAGCAGTAAAAGCATCAGTGTGGGAATGACTGGCCAAGGACCACATTCTTGGCTAGAATCCACGGTGGAACGTTCGAGTGGGCAAATCATCAGAGTATTTCACTTACAGGTCTTCACTGAGACCGGTTAGCTGTTCAGCTAGTTAAATCCCCCCTTCTGCTACATTTATTTTCATACATCGCCAATTTATTTTCCGGATATATATTAAAGTGGCTACGAGTAAAGCTAGCCCATGCGATACTTGGTTCTGCCTAGGAGATGAGGGAGTAATGTGCAATTTACACATTCTTCATTCACCAAACTGTATTAGAATTATTTCCCATGCACCATTTCCGCTCATATTTTAATCAACTGCTTTTTAAAAGAATGCTAGTGGTTACAACAAAGATAATGTGTTGTATTAAAAATCATTAACATTCGACATATTAAACCATCTACTCCATAGTCTGTAAATATTACAATTGTACTCTGTGACTTCACCCCAATGTAATGAAACTCCTCAAAGGACCCACATTTGTAGGAACTTAGAAGTCAGTGGCTCAACCTTTTCAGAGATCCGATTCCGCTATTGTGTTCATCAGCGTGAGTTGTCTTCAGTGAGTAGTGAAAGCTCGTTTTAACCCCAACCCCAATTAGTAGGTCCTCATGGTCAGGGGCCAGACGGAGGGCAAAGGAGCCGGCTTAGCAAGTCAAAGACCCTAGCGGGGAAATCCAGGACTAGGAAGGGGATCCAAGAGCAGGCCAGTGGGAGAGAAGTTTGGGAGGCATTTACGATGCCTTGTCTGGGCAGGGTTAGCCCTGGTGGGGAAGGCTTCAGCATACCAGGGGAGAAAGGTCGGTTTTGAGTGGTAGTCCAGGCACCTTAATCTCTAGACATGACAGTCTATGTTTACACTGACCGGGCCTCTTCTGCAATAAAGGCGCTCAGTTTGTGATACAGAAGGTAAGAGTGTCGGAAAGCCTTATGAAGGAACTGGGACGACTTTGCCTGGAGAAGATTCTGGGGCAGGGAGGGAGGAGGTTCAGATGATGACGGTCTTCAAAAACCCAGAAGGTCTGTCCTGTGTGAAAGGGGGTGGCCTTGTTCCGAGGGCTTTACCTCCCAAGGTAAAATTGGGACCAACGAGCTAGAGATCTAGTCGGGAAGATCGCACCTCAACATCAGGAAAGACTTAAAAATCTACAGCTGGGGCCCCTGGGTGGCTTAGTTAGTTACGCACCTGACTCTTGACTTTGGCTCAGGTGACAATCAAAAGATGGTGAAATCAAGCCCGTATCGAGCTCCGCTCTAGGCGTGGAGCCTGCTTAAGATTCTCTCTCTTTCTCCCCCTGCCCTCCCTCCTTCTCCCTCTCTCAAAGAAAAAGTCTACATCTGGCCCCAGAAGGAAGCCAAGGCTTTGTAGGCCAGTGAGCTCAATGCCTTTAGATGACCAGATAGCCAGCAACAGAGAACATGGTAGACAGATTGCTACCGTGGGTCCCAAGTGGGGTTGGATGATCATTAATGTATTTTCCAGCTCAAAGATTCTGATCCTTATGTACAGTGTATAAAGGATTGTGAGGGGGACTTTTTAGGACCCTAGAGGGAGCATGTGGGGACATGTCTGTACCATCCAGTCTGCTCCTTAAGGCAGCTCTGCAATGACCTGCTCTTGGCAACACTTTATCAGTCACAGAGCTCTTGTGTGAGCCTCAGAGGATTAAGGCTGAATTTCTGTAGGGCTATTTTATAAATCAGACTTTTCACTAATTCAGATTAACAGCCTCCAGAGAGCCAAACATCTGCATCAGTGCTGATTCTAATCCTAATTTAACTGTAAATTCCTTTTTCAGGAGATAAACAGGGATGATGAATTGGCCA